CACTAGTGCCTCCTGGAAGGAGCTGAAGTGCCACACATGAACACCCAGCACTGCATCCACCTCAGGTGCATTGCAGAGTTACACAGATCTTCACTCTCCCTAGGAGAAAGTCTAGTTTTGCATTTCTTATGAAGCAAATAATCTTTGTGGTTTTCTGAGAGTTATTTCTGGAAAGAAAAAAATACTGGTTTGGATATTAGTTCTGTTAATGCTGATGTAAATTGAGATTAAATCCATTGTCGACCACCAGAGTAAAATCTTCTTTCACAATTTTGCCCCTTTTTTCTCATTGCCAAATGAGCTAAGAAGGGGTCACTGAGCAGGCCCAGCTGCTTGTTTTGTGTGCTGTGCACACTGACAATGTTTTTTTTCTCCCCTTCTGTCTTCAGCATGCAATCCTGTTTCCACATTTATGATGGGAAAGATTCCAATCAGTCTGAATTACGAAGCTCCAAGTAATACAATTCTTATAAAATGAAAGGTAGCCTGAATTGTGTCTCATAAAGTAGTTGAAACTCTTTTCTTCTTCTTTTCTTTTTTTTGTAAAATTAAAAAAAACCCAAGCCCGTAACTGTCCCAAAGTAACCCCATTACCACCTTTGTGTGGTAGGTGTTAGAATTATCTCTTCAAAGTGGCAATTACATGGAGAAAATTAATAAAGGCTCCTGCAAACTTAATGGACAGAGACACAATAAACCAAAACCAGAATGATTCCGTTAGATTTCATCTGCTACAAATTACCACCCAACCTCATGATGTTATTGATGTGCTTTCACTATATCCACTTTAAATCATCACAGATCATTCCCTAACTCAGTTCTTCCACTGGCCAGGTGTCCATACAAGGCAACTTTGATTATTTGTCATGTCTCCAGAAATCTTTTAATTTTGTATGAGGTGAAACAGATCCATGTGGGCTCCACAAAATTCTTCATAAAAATCAATTCATTGAAAAGCAGTAAGGGACTCTTGAAAAGTTGATTTTTAAGTGCTTTAAATATGATGCTTCATCAGCTCATACTGAAGAAGAAAACACCCCTTCATTCAGGTTTTGTTGGAAATAAGAATAATGCAATTGAGTTTAACTCTTGGAAATGTTCACTGACCACCAAAATGGTGAAGTATTTCCATAAAAACATTAAAACTCTCCAAAGGGAAACAACTAGTAGAAAATCTCTTGGACATTTACCCATCCTTTTGAGAATGGAAAGTCTGACCCAATCCACTATAATTTGAATTCCAACTGAACAGCCTGCTACCATGGCTCTTAAGAGTTTACTGGATGCTGAAATTCATCAACCAGGAAAATCTTTCAGATTTAATAATTTATTTTTTCAAGAAACAGCCCAGGAAACCAACAGTTAAACCAAAGAACCTCTAGTAAACAGAACAATGAAAAATAATTAATTAGCCTCTTTGTAGTGCTTTGATAGATGCATTGAATAAATCTGAGCTGATTTATCAGTCAGGTGCCTTTGTGTGGTAGATATTAGAATTATCTGTCATTAACCTTATGCTACTAATGAAGGTGCTTGGGTAGAGAAGTTAAATGTTAAACTTCCCAAAGTCACTTCTGAAGTTGGCATTACAACTCAGGCATTTACTATCAGTCATTGGAGATAATTTCTTAAAAAACATAAAGGGATTCATGAGGTACAGATCATCACCTGGAAAGGCACCATCATTTCTCTAACCTCAGTTTCAGAAAACAGAAAAAAAATTAGAGATAGCTGTGAAAAAACATTGCAAGGAAAAGAGTTACCCATCCAAGCTTGGAGTGGTACATCTAAATTCTGTTTTATTATATTATTATGATTTACCCCTGGAATCTGTCTGACAATTTGATTTATTGTGTATGATTTACATTAAAGTGACACCTCACACTGTGTTTCCAACAAAACCCATAGACAAATCTAGCTGTCAGTGAATGTCTCAAAAAATGACAATCCATCTTTGTTGTTATTAATGTTATGGTAAGAGGTAGGGAAGGGAAAATATTATACAATGAAAATGGCTTTTGAGAGAAGATTTAAATATTCTGCAATATGGACTATGTAAGAAACTTAACCTCCTTAAGTCTCAAGCTGAGAAAATATATATTTAAAAATGTATTAGCTATGCAGAGAAAATTCTGCCATTTGTATTCAACAAATATCAAGAAGTGCAATTTTTTTTCCTTCAGGTTGGAAAAATGCAGGTTTCTTGTAAAGAAATATTAAAACATGTATTATTTTTTCCTAACCTTTTGACAGGCTGCCTATTGAGCTTGGTAGGACATCCAAAAAAATTCAGATTCGGATTTCAAAATTAATGATTAATACTACAGACTTTTCACAGTATTGAACTGGCAGTGCCAAATTCCTCTACCATGAGCAAGTGCAACTCCACGCATTTCAGCAGAGCTGTGTTTGCATATCTTAGCAAGCAATTCTGGCCCCATGCCTGGGAAAGCATCTTACATTTCATAGTCACTTGATTATGGCTCATCTTTAAACCACACTTTACTATTTGCAAGATACTTAACCCACAAAACCAGAGAAGTCCATCTGCTAAGATTCCATTGTGCATGAGTAAGTAAAAACCATGAAGCTCTTTGAAGTGAAAAATCTAGTATGAAATGGACATAAATATATTCCAAATATGTATTTGCTTCTGCAGACTGATGAACTTAAAGTTTAGGGTTAAAAATTTCACTTGCACTAGAAATTCATTTCTTCAAGATGCTTTTTACCTGAACCAGAAATAGTTCTTACTACTAATAGGGCAAGATCCACTTAAAAAAAAAATATCCTTGGAAAAAAGTAAGAATGCACCCCCAAGGCAATAGCAGCTGTCACAGACATATAGGATTCAATTAAGAATCTGCTTCTAATAGTCTGGAACAACCAAATGGAATAAAAAAATATTAGGTATTAGCCTGAGACATCTATTGATACCAAAATTGTTGTTTTTTGGTGGGGAGCAAGCTAACCACATGTCAAAAATCATTAACCAACCTTCAGTTTGGCCTAAAATACTAATCTAATGTAATGTAAGGCCGAGATTAAATAATTGAAACTGTGCTTTATGTTTGGTTCCGAAGAATCATAGAACGCCCTGGGTTGGAAGGGAATTTAAAGTGCCACCCAGTGCCACCCCCTGCCATGGGCAGGGACATCTTCCACCAGCCCAGGTTGCTCCAAGCCCTGTCCAACCTGGCCTTGGGCACTTCTAGGGATGGGGCAGCTTTTTAGGGGGCATCAGGGTCTCAATCATGCTCACAGTAAAGAATTTCCTCCTAAGAATAAACCTAAATTCTCTCCCTCTGACAGTTTAACAGCATTATAGTTCTTTCTTCTTCCCATTAAAGTTGTGGGTTTTCTGGCAGGGAGTTTTTGGCTTTTTTTTTTTAACTACACCCCTAAAACATATTTTTTTCCTCCTTTTATGGCATTACCTCTTATGATATTTTTAAAATATCTACTTAGCTATTTTAAACTTTTTAAATAATGCTATTAGACCTGTCATTGCAACACTTTTCTGCAAATCTGTGGAGGATGTGACTGCTATAATACTAACCCCACATATGTTCATGCATATATGCCTACAACTCCACTGCCACTATAATATAACTATGAACAAACATTGTGGAGGGGTTTTCCATTTGTTTGGGTTTTTTTTTTTTCCCTCTCTTTATACACCTACCAGCTATTTTCTTTTTCATTGCCACAGCTCCAGTCACAAGGAGGCAGCAATGAATCTTTGCATATACACAGGGGCTGGGAGGGAAGGTTGCTGACAGCCCTGTGATCCTCTTGCAGACAGCAGCAGTAAACCTTACTGGAATCAGCATTGTACAGAAATTTCAGACCACCAAGACCTTCCTTTCGGTACCTACAATTTAAGTACTACAGCAAACACCAGATTTCCAGGGCACAATAAGGTACCTTGACTCCCTGTTAGGTACATGGCAAGAATGAGATGCTCCAAAACATTTGAAAACGCACACCCACTGTAAAAACATATCCAGACACTTCTTTTTCAGGGAACTATCCAGATTTAGTCAATATTAACCAAGGAACCCTTACTCTTTGCCTCAGGTTCTACAGAATTAGGATGAGTCCTCTTTTAACAGAAGACATTCAGAGGTATAGTTCAGTATCTGTCAGATCAGTAGTTCCTTAATTGCATTTCCCTTTGCTAAACAGCACATTGTGTGACAAGAAAATATGTTGCAAAGGGGCTACAAAGCCTTCAAAACATTGCGACTGCAGAAAAATGCCACACAGTGTTATGGAGCAAATCACTGAGTTATATTTATCTTTGAAAACAAGAACCTTTCATAGTTCTTGACCTGTTGGAGGGCAAACCAAAATTAACATTATCATCATTGTATTAGATGTCCATTCCATGAGTATCCAAGGTTTCAATCATTACATTTTTTACTCCTCATGGTAGAATAAAGCTATTTCAATATCATCCCTGGAGACTTGTAATTGTCACTGGTTGACTTTACAGTGTGTCTCCTCAGAAAGAGAAGGTACTATAAAGATATATATATATATATTAACTACAGACCTTTCAACACCATATATGTTCTTAAGGCTGTGCCTTCTCTGTAGGTCCTTTCCCTATTTCAGTTCAGACTGACAAATAATTAAGTCTAGAGCAGTCCTTGGATAGGACCAGATTGTGAAGCACTGATTTGGCTTTGTACTTCATAGACATTCAGCTCAATTGTACTGTTAGTGAAGCTGAACTGAAATGTAATTCTTTTTGCTCATGTCTTTTGACAAACTGCTGGACACACCATTCCTAACATGCTCAATTACTTTAATGAGCTACTAAAACACAGCATGTTCCTCTGCCCGTCATCCAAACATTTCCGGGGTGATCACCGGCATAAAGTTGACCAAAACTCCTGGAACAACACCTCTAACATTTCACCCAGTCTGTAACTTTTCCTGCCTCTCCTGGAGGTGCCAGATGGAAATATGGCTGTGTCAAGAAGGTCACTTACCTCCACTAACTTGTTGGCGTGTTCACGGAAGACCTGAGCGTATTCCTTCACTTCTTTCTCGTTGCCGCTTTTGGCGGCCTCGATGAGAACCAGCAGAGGGACGTTGGTCTCCAGGAATGAATCTGATATGTGATCCATCACTGCCTTCCGGAGCTGTGACAAAGGACAGCAGACCAGTAAATAAAGGACATTTATCAGCACGCATTCCCACTGTTCATATTGAACACTGATGTGTTGCATCTCGCAGTGTTATGCGGGAATTTGGATTTTTTGCTTTCTTTTCTTCAATATTTGCAGCAAGCAAAATTAAAAACTTGAGGGCCTAGGCTCTGCAAACCCCTCCTGGGATTTGTGCTGACATACACCTAATCCTACTGGCCTGAATGGATCTGTACAGAATGATGGTGATAACTCATGTAAGACATAGCAAATTGATGAGAATTGAAAGCTCCACACTACTTGAAAAAACAGTTCAGCTCACTAAAAAACCAAATACAGATTAAGGAGCTTAACTCCAAGCAACCATTAAAAAATATTAGCCTGAATATTTCTAAGCCTTCTCTAATTCCTCCAGTGAATAGTATTCCATGCAATAATTAATATTTTGTGTAGCAGATGCCTTGTGCTTTGTATTCCCATTTGAATAGCTCCAAGAAGTATAAACAGAAATCCTTTTTAGCATTTTCCAGGCAGATTAGAAAACATATTCCAATTTATTCTAAAGGAAGAAAAAAAAAAACACCTTAGAAGTTACTGAAGATTTAACACCTGTTAGTCCATATAAACATCTATTTGAAACAATATTACTGTAAGAATGATATCACTAAACTCTTTCCCACCTTGCTAATGACCACTAATTAATGTCAAACTTCTCCAAAATTTGAAAGACAGCCAGAAAGATGACTGAAATCTTAAACAATTCTTCCTGGAAGCTTAATTGCTCTGCAAGAGTGGATCAGAAACATCTTGATTATGTTTTCTCCAGCTTTTGGGTTGTTAAGAATGAAAAAGTGTGGACTCAAACAGAAGCTAGGAGCTATTCAGCCTGGAGTCGTGGGTACCCATTAGTCTCCTTAAATCATGCATTTTTAGTTAGATGAAGCATCCAGAGAGGTAATTTTCTCTATTCTGCAGCCCAGACAAGAAAGCTTTATCTAGACAAGGTGCCATCAAAACACCCAATCACACTGAAAACTGGCCTATTGTCAGACACTGCAAATACACAATCCAAGATGCATTTGCTGTTTGATGACAGCAATTCTCAGCTCTATTTGAATAAGGAGAAAGCTAACTTTGAATATTTTCCTTCATTCCCTGAGTGGTGCAGTAAAAACAAGCAAAGCAAAATAGCATATATGTGCTTGTAGGAGGTATTCGTTTTATTTCCATCACAACTGAAGCAGTCAACATATTAAGCAGTTCTCAATTCTCCTTAAAAATTAATTCTACTCAGATTCAACCTGGAAAGTTTTTTTTTTCCACTTTCAAAATGATTAAAGGCACTCAGAATAGCTAACTCAGTAACACATACAAACAGGGGGAGGAAAGAAGACAAAAAGAAGAAAAGAATCATCTATCAGAGACCTGCCAACAGTTTGGAAGCTGGTGTGTGTTTGCTACCACCTATTACATTTCCATCTTGTACTCTTTATTTTTTCTCCCATCAATCTGCTTCTCTCCACTTGCTGACTCTTATTTTATTCTTACATTAAAAGCTCTTTCAGACCATGCTTTGGGTCTATTTGCACAGCATCTCACACAATGGGACTCTGATCCATGAATAGTTTTCATAGGTACCATCTCAATATAAATTACAATATTGTTCCAAATACATCAAAACATTGCAAGGAAAAGAAGAAAAGATATTCTAAGGTGCTCAGTGTCAGAGAATAGTGCAGCAGCACAGCACCCTGCATTCTATGGTTGATAGACTTCCAGTCAGTACTTATAAAAAATTTTTAACTTAAGAATTCAGACACATGGTGGGATTCTTGGGGTTGCTCTGTGAAGGACAACCAGGAGTTGAACTCAATGATTCTTGTGAGTCCCTTTCAACTCAGGATAGCCTGTGATTCCCTATTAAATCAGTAGTTGCACCTATAGCCAGCATTAAGAGAGAAATACTGCCAGAGAAGGTGCATCATAAATTTGCATAATTCTTCTCTGCAGACATCCATTTCCCAGAGTGTAATCTGGCAATCTCCAGATCAGATGCCTGATTTGTGTGCCCATAGTTAGAGTTTGATGCCCATTGTATCAAAAAAGGCCAAATGGTGGCATTTCCAAAGGAACACACCAAGCTTTTTAAAATTCCATGTGGCTTCCAGCTCATTCTCAGTGAAAGATCCTTAAAAAATTCCACTTGCTCAAGCTGAATATATGCCAGTGAAAACCTGCTGTCCACTGCACTAAAACCCCTTACTTTAAATGCTAAATGAGCACCAACACTTTCCTGTTTGTGTCCTGCCATAAGGAGGGATCTGTTCCAAGGCTTGTATTTATTCAATGAACAGCAATTCAATTTTTAATCCAAGGTAATGTGGTGTTATGGATCAGGTTATAACAATATGCCCCATGAAATTGTAACAGCAGTCTCAGGATGTTCAGTAAGCAGCTTATTTTCATCACTGTTAAATATCTTCAGTCTACAACCACATACCAGAAATCAATAAAAAGGACAGCAAGAGCATCAGCTAACCAGCAATTTGGGGTTTACCCTAGTAAATATAGAGTAGAGCTCTTTCTGAATCAAAAGGATGAATAAAATGGATATCTCATTACTAATGGTAACCATGAGTTGTACTCTGAGGTTTATAATTGCAGCAGCTGAAAAAAAAGAGTCTGAATTCTGACTGTCACAAGTTTAATAAATACAAAATTAATACATTCCATTTTTCTTCTGCTGTGTTAATCATAGATGTCAGTGGGATATTTCTGGCTCCTCTTGTAAACAGGCACTATAATTTCTTTAGGAATTTGTTATCTGAGTTTTAGGATGTCCTTGCATTGAAGTTGAAAGGTAGAGTTAACAGGTTTAATGTACGCAAGAGACCACAAATTTTGCCATCCTTCACCACAAGCTGTAAAGAATGACTTGACAAAACCATTTGTTAAATGTGACAGCAGTATGAAGGCAAGACATTCATCCAGGAGCTCAAATGGATACATGACAAGGTAATATTAATGGCACAAGACAAGACATTTAAAAGTACTGGCTCACCATTACCAGTCTATTTGATCCAATTAGGGCTATTCATCAAGGTAAATAACTACTGGGAAAGCAATCTTGTGTGTTCCTGTGCATACTGCAACAAAGTCCAGTCTAAGTGATGGCTTGTGCACCCAGAGATTTCAGTTTCATCCAGGTAATGTCACTTCAGAAGGGAATGGGAGAAGGCTGTGACTTGAATTAGAGAGCAGCAAAAGCCCGTGGTGTTTTATTCCAAAACCAGCACCAGGGCTTTGCTCATGCACCTGCATTAACAAATGCCTTTGCAACGCCTTAATTTATGCTGAGTTCTGATGTAAATATTATGACACACACTATTACTTGTAAGACAACGCTTCAGGGGTTTTTTCCCCCACAGGATTTTTAATTTAGAGATGAATTCAAAGCACAAATTCCACCATGTGAAACTTCATTTATTAGAGGAGGAGGCACGTTAAATTAAGGTCTTGCTTAATTCATTTTGTCAGAGAGAAAACTTTATTAATGTACATAAAGCTAACAGATTAATAAATTTGCCACACCAACAAAAAATATAGAAGGAAAATATCAAGACCTGCAAATATTTTTGAAAGCATGAATGGTGCACAGGCAGATTTTATGCCTTTCCAGATCAGTCAGTTTTGTCAGTTTATGGTGCAGTCAAGTTGCTGTTTTTGATAGCATCATGCTCTACTGTTCTAAGCACTATTTAGGGCTGTTTTATCATTGTCAGTTCACAGCCATAATGGAGCTCAAAGAGGTTAAATGCCCACCAAAACGATGTTTTCCATGGCTATATAACAATTTTAGAACCAAAATGTCTCAGTGCTACTTACAGTCTAGTAGAGAATTAAATGTCTAATCCTGCCACTGGAAGGTAAAGCCACAGCAGGAGATTAATGACTCCAACAGATTGTTAAACTTTATAAAGCCTGGCAGTGCAGAGCTGCCTGTAACAAAAGTTTACCAAGGAGCACCTTATTCACCATTTTCCATTTAACAGGTGTTGCAACCAGCTCCAGTTTGCACCTGCAGAGAGCTCCCAAACAGGCATTAATTCAATTGAAAGGGATGAAAATAAAGCCTTCTCCACTGCAGTTAAGGTGTGTCACCTCCAATATGCTGTGAAATTGAGTTCTGGAGAATAAGGCAGGGACCATTAGAAGCTGCTGCAGTCTGGTGCTAAAGAGAAAGTCTCAGTCAATTCTGCAGACTGTGTCACATAGGAGGTGACCAAAGAATGGTAGCTTGGGGGATGGGGACAGCAACACCACCAGTTATGTCTTGGCAGATTAAACAGCAAAAAGACTAACATTTAGAACACGTATCACACTTGGATACTCAAACTACAGATCTATAGAATAGATTTAAAAAGTAAGATTTGAGCCAAAGAGAAATCAGGAAGAAATGCTGTTACAAAGACAGGTAATGCTGACTAGAATCATGAATTGGCCTGGATCTTAAAGATCATCCAGTTCCAACCCCCTGCCATGGACAGGGACACCTTCCACTGTCCCAGGCTGCTCCAAGCCCTGTCCAGCCTGGCCTTGGACACATCCAGGGGCAGCCACAGCTTCCCTGGGCACCCTGTGCCAGGGCCTCCCCACCCTCACAGGGAAGAATTTCTTCCTAAAATCTAATCTAAACCTGCCCCCTTTTAGTTTGAACTTCTTAATATATTTTTAATGCGTGAGCTGTCATCTCTCTACAGAGAAGCAGCCATAATCAGGAAAAGATTTGGGGTGAATTTGCTAACAGAAAGCAAGCTGAAGTGACAATTTTTTACTAAAAATTGAAAGAATATAAGAAAAGCACACAAAGAACATTCCTCCAAGTCACAGGCCAGTACAAAGGATTTCTCAAAATAGTTCATGGCCCAAAGCATGGAGGAACCCAGTTACAAAGTGCTAAGGTACTTAATCCCCATTGATTTAAATTTGTTTGT